ATGGTTGTAGTGGTTGAGTGTGACACTGTTGTGCTGACTGCCGTGGTAAATTCCGGAGTTGGTATACACTCTGGTTTGTTTGGTGTGCAGCAGACGCTGATCTCATAGTTATGGCAGTATGAAACATTGCCGTTGTTTTCTTGATCCTTATTGTTACAGGTAAGCCCTGTGTTTACATTGCATTGAACCTTCTGCCCTAACTCTTCTAGGGAAATGTCAGGGTAATCCTTCGCTCTGCATGAAATATTCTCAGCTTTCACGCATTCCAAGGAGGAGTTGTTTATTTTGTCAATGGTTTCATAGTCTCCACTGTTCACATCAGATCTATCTGGTTGACTCGAATCGATCCAGTCTGTCCAGATGCATTCACAATTTGTCACTGAGAGACATCAACAAGAATAACATTCAGGAACGTTGGAGACAGAGACAGCCAATGTTAGTTCCAGCACCGTTACTAGTGGTTTACTGGGCCTCCACTGCACGCAAAGGTGCACTTTGAACTCTGCTACTCACCTACCTACGCTAGTCAGCCAACCCTGGCCGCAACAAAGCTCATTAGTGTGGTCAGGCCTCCCTTTCTTTGCCTTATGGAGCACACCAGTACAACATCAGGACTCAGGCACTGTTGAGCTATGTGTGTCTTCCCTCCGTAAATATAGCAAGTTCTGTTTGGGGCTTGCTGTGTGCAAAAAAACTTCTTTAAGAGCAGCATATGGGGTAGAGCATAATCAAGTAAGGACTCTCACAACTTTCTCTCGGGCAAATCCAAATCCAGGAGAGAATCACAATCATAAAGCAAGTAGGCACTTGATGCACGCTGCATCCAAAATCATGGGTTGCTTCCTAGCAGTGTAGGGAAAGCTGGAGAGCAACTCTGGCAGAACCTTCTGCCCAGAGTCTCACTCCATAGCAAGAGGTAAGCCAAGAGGTGGCTGAAATCTTTTCCCAGACCCCGCTAGGGAAAATCAGCCTTCAGAGAGCCAGAACTGCAGATGAATTGTAAAATAGCCCAAATCATCACAACAGAAGGAATAGGATGTACGTTCTTTCTCTCCAGCTGAAGGACAAAGCCCAAAAAGCAGCAAAAGTAAGACTTTCCATCAGCACTGTATTGGCCTAAGGTAGGCAGTAGTACCATAAAAAAAATATCCTCGCACTCAGGATAATCAAGGAATAGGAATTGACATCCAGAAACATGTTGTGCACTCTCTCTGCTAAATGGAGAGCTCAGTACCCTATAGTTCTGGAGACTTCTTTGTTCTTTTTTTTTAATCTGCATAAACTGTTTTCTTCAGAGTACTGCAGTGAAGACATAAATTAAGGTGCCAATAGACAATTTCTCCCATACCAAGGCAAGACATGACAACACAGAGCAATTAATTACCTGGTTGTGAAGGTGGAGGCGAGTGGGTTTGAGTTACTATTGTTGGTAAGGTTGTGCTTGTAAATGTCGGAGTGGATGAGGATACACCAGGAACAGTCTGAGTAGTTCCCTGGGTGCTGCTGCTGAAGGGTGTTGTGGTGGCAGTACTGGTTGGAGATTCTGATGGAGTTGGTGTGGGAGCAGTGGTTGATACTGGGAGACATCAACAAGAGGAATAATTATGAACAATAGGGACAGAAACAACAGGTAAAGATGCAAGCATATGTATGAGTGGGACACAACAGGAGTTAACAGCCACAAATTTACAGCTGGCTCAGCCCATTTTTTTCTGCAGCAAAGGCCTGTATTATTTGCCTTTACTTCCCAGTTCCAGAAAGCAGACTAGGATCAAATCTGAACAGACATGGTTAAGACACGCCCTTTTCTACTGAAGACGTTTGTTACATTGCCTGGCTGGGATTCTCACTAAATGAAAAATCCCACACCAGTGGATAAGATGGAGAAAAAAAGCCCTATGGTTCTTCCCATCTCAGCCCTACCACTCATAACACCTTGCTGTCTTGGAGAGAGAGAACTGAGAAGGGAAGCTGTGGTCAAGGAATGAAGTAAGCCGAGGGATATGTTGTTATCTAAAGTTTATGTCACCTCTCCATAGTGCAATGGCAGCCTGAGGGAGAGGTTCACAGCAAGTGGCTTTTTGAAGGGTGAAACCATTCCAAAAAGGCTGCAAGGGAATCCTTTCTTCCTAGATCTACAGCCACAGACAAGTATCAGTACTGACAGAGAGAAAGTGAAATGAAGAAATTCTTCACAGTTCTGCCAGACAATACCTAAAATGATGATATACCAAATCAAGGCCTACTCTAATTTCACACGTATCTGAGAATGTTCTCTCCAGGAAAGGGACAGAGCTCAAAATCAGTGAAGTGATTGCTCAGTATCTGCTTTAAGTAGCTGACAGTCTGTTATTTATCTTACGGCAAGGTAAGGAAAGAGAAAAATTGTCTGCTAAATACCTGTGGAGGCTGAAGTTACTGGTGTGGTTACTGAAGGTGTGGGTTGGCTTGTGGTGGTTGCAGTGGGTGTTGGTTTTGAGGTAATTGTCGTTGACTGCCGGGTTGTCGTAGTGGGCACAGTTGTTCCAGTGGTGACTGAAGATGCAGTTGGTGTTGAACTCGGTGTACTTGCAGTCTCACAAGGAATTTCATGCCATTCACAACAGTTTACCCTGATTTCATAATTATAGCAAAGATGCCAGATACTTGCATCTTGCTCCTCATTTTTACAGATGAGTCCATACGTAACATTACATTCCACTTTTTGGCCAAGTTCCTCTAAGGTTTTATCAGGACTGTCTTTAGCCCTGCATTCAATATTTTCAGGAGCTGTACATATTTTGTTTCCATGTTCTTTTCTTATTTCTTCATAGGTTTCATAGTCACCACCATCTTCTTCAGGATTACTAACATCAAACCACTCAGACCAATCACAGATTAATCCAAGGCATGGAGCTGCAATGAAAGACATAGGTTCAGTGTCAGAGCTCACAGAAGACATTCTGAGAAGGTTAATTTTGTATTCAGCTCCATTGATGACTAACATAATGCATTTCAATTTGCCATTTTTGAGAGAGAAAATAATTCTAAAATTGGTTAAATATGACTGGTTTCTTCAACAAGAAGCTTTGTATCAAAATAGAATCACCAATCTGAAGCCTCTTTATACATCTCAAATTTTTGCAATTTCATTTTTTTTAAGTATTTTTTTGGTTTATTTTGAAAATGTTTTTCAGTAGTGGTCACCTTTAATTTACTCATCATTTGGCATTTTATGGTCAACTAGTTTTTATACTTAAAACTTACTTGTAGTTACTGGAGGACTTGTGGTAACTGAAATAGAAAAGAAAAAAAATTACTTCATCATCTGTAAGTTTCAGAAAAACATAATATTAGTTTTAAACATCCTAATTACAATTTTTGCTGTGACTGCTGAGACAATTTCTATTATCTCCACAAAATACTCAAAAGATAGAATCCTATACATTTATAGTCACAATTTCTTCCATGAGGGGTAAATAAACTCAAGGCATTAAAATCTTCCTCAGTGAAATGCAACAAAATTATTTGCAAGTACCACTCTAGCTTTGTCAACTATGATAAGTCTGCACACTTGTACATTCGATCTTTGAAGTATTTTCCTTAAGTAAAGTTATTTTTAAATGTGCATCTCTCTTGAAAACTTACCTATGGTGGTAATAGTATTTGTACCAGGAGAGGTTGTAATGGTTGAAGGTGAGGTAGTTAATGGACAAGGATAAGAACCTCCAATAACTACAGATCCATTTTCTGCACAAACATATATTGTGCATATGTCGCCATCCTTTATTGTTGCAACCGTTTCTCCCACATCATAACTTGTTCCGTTGATAACACAAGGACATCCTGCAAGAAAGAGTTCAGCATGCATGTTCTCTCTCTACCACGACTATTTGGAGAAGACAAAAAAAGCAAAACAGAAGTAGAAGACAAAGGAAAAAAAAAAGACTTGCGGATTTGCCAAGGATATAAATACTTAAATGTATCATGCATGCTCCTTTGAGTGCTACACTTGGAGCTTAGATCTAGTGTCATATTAATTTATCTTGTAAACTCTTGTAGTGAAATCCACAAGTTTGGATATGAGACATAGGAAGAAGAAATATAGTGTGTGATTAAAAGATTGAACAAGAAGTGCTAGCATCAGAGTTCAACAGAATTGCTGTCAAAATTTCTTTGGTCAGAAAGCCTTTGTAGAGATAGATACAGTGGTTCCATGGTTTCTCCACAATCCGCCCCCCTCCACTTTCTTAATTAAAAAAAAACTAAAAACATTATTTACCTGGAATTGGTGTACACTCAATGGATCCTGAGGGGCGACAGATACTAAGAGCAAAAATTTCAAAAGTTAAGATGTTATAGAAGTTTAATGGCTACCAGAGCCAAGAGCACAGAAATGTAAAATTTTGTCACTTGATCTTCATTTATACTGCTGGATATGTTTCTGATTGTAACGTCTTCTAATACTACCTATCATTACTTCATTCAAACTAAGTCACCATTTGTATTCCTTAAGTGCAACATCTTAAACTATTATGACCCGTTTTGTATTGCAAGTTGCAATGCCGCAGTAATAACAGCTGCTCTTATGAGTAGTTGTGTTTTATTTATGTATTTATTTTTGTTTCTGATCATGATGTGGATTCATAAATGTCAATTCCACCATTAGTATGGTTCTGGTAATGAACAATTAGGAGTCAGTTACCTCCTTCAGGGATAATACAGATTATTTCAGAGCACTGTGACTTTGAAATCTTTGTCTTAAATGAGAATACAGGGCAGAGAAGCCCCCCTCTTTCCAAAGAGCCACGAGAATCAGAAGACTGTTCCAGAGACACAATTAGGCTTTCTGCCATTGTATCATTTATGACACTTTCAAGAGTACATTTAATGATTCTACTAACAAACCTATCAGAAAGACACAATCATCTTGAAATATGTATTATCATGGATCTGTAAAACTATAGATGAAAAATTTTGAACTCGTATGTAGTGGAAGTGGAATTTCTTGAGATTGTCTCATCTAGAATATATGTCATTGTTCCTCTGATTTGTATATATAATATAGAATATATTATATTCTATAAAATATATTTATAGAGATTGTATAGAATATATAAGTTGCATCTCTACTTACTAAAAAACATGCTTGAGGCTCAATAAAGTAAACGAGGGGCTCAGCGTACACATATTATCTCCTGAATTACTTCAAATGTTTTTGCATTTTTACTTACCATTTTGTACAGTTCTCTTCTGTTGGTATTTCTCCACCTATGATAACAGGATTACCGTTGTGGTAACACCAGCATTCATCTGCAGCCACACACTCTTTTGTCTCTTCATTATAAATGGGCTTTTCATGAGGGCATCTGGGGTAGCAACCTGTTGATGGCAAGTAGCACAGAATACAGAGTGAACAAAAGTATGACGAGTTAACTAAATAACAGTATATCCTCTGAAAGTAAATGATTCTCACTGAATCAGGAATAGTCAAAGAGATCAAAAATTTTGAATCAAAATCAATCCTTGGACACTTAGCCTCTTCAAACGGCTTAAGCAATCCTCATTGATAATACTGAGAGAACTAAATAAGAATATACTCATGAAAACCAAGACATATTTTTTCTTAGTTCAAAATACTGCAGCAACCTTTATGATCTATGGGAAACTAGTTATTTTAACACACACAAAAAACCTGTCCTGGTTTCAGCTGGGACAGAGTATATTTACTTCACCGTGTATGATATGATGCTAGTTTAGCCTTTAGGAGAAAAACAATGTTAATAATACACTGATGTTTTAGTTGTTGCTCAGCAGTGCTGAACAGAGCCAAGGATGTTGAAGCTTCATCTACCGTCCTGCCAGTGAAGTGGCAGAGATGCACAAGAAGCTGGGAGGGAAGAGCTCCAGGACAGATGACCTGGACTGGCTGAAGGGATATTCCATACCATACAAGTTCATCTATACATCACACAAAAGACGGGATTTGGCCAGGGCAGGACTGCCACTGCTCAGGGACTGGCTGGGTATGGGTCAGTGGGTGGTGAAAAACTGCACTGTGCATCACTCATTTTGTAATTACACACACACACACGTTATCATCACTATTATTTCTCTTCCCATTATCTGCCTTAGTAAAAGGTTTTAATCTCAGTCAACAAGTTCCACTTTTTTTCCCCAATTCTCTCTTCCAGAGTGCAGTGAATGAACATCTGTGTGGTGTTGAGCTGCAGAACACAAACATACTGATTTTTCTACAGATATTGAAATGTGATCACTTTATCAAGAATCCCTTTGTGAAAAATACGGATATGCATTCAGTAATGAACATTCAACAGGCTGTTGATGTAGTCTATCTAGGCTGTTGATGTAGTCTACCTAGACTTCAGCAAAGCCTTTGACATGGTCTCTCACAGGCTTCTTCTGGGGAAACTGGCTTCCCGTGGCCTGGACAGGTACATACTCCTTTGGGTAAGAAACTGGCTAGAGGGCCATGCTCAATGGGTAGTAGTTAATGGAGTGATGTCCAGCTGCCGACCTGTTTCAAGTGGTGTCCCCCAGGGGTCAGTACTGGGGCCTACCTTGTTTGATATCTTTATTGATGACCTAGACGAGGGATTGAGTGTACCCTCAGTAAGTTTGCAGTTGACACCAAGTTGGGAGGTGGTGATCTGCCTGAGGATAGGGAGGCCCTTCAGAGGGACTTAATTGCTGGGCTGGGGTGAATGGAATGAGGTTCAACAAGGCCAAGTGCCGGGTCCTGCACCTTGGCCACAACAACCCCATGCAGCGCTATAGGTTTGGGGACGAGTCGCTGGATGATTGTGAAGAGGAAAGGGACCTGGGGGTGTTAGTTGATGCTCGGCTGAACATGAGCCAACAGTGTGCCCAGGTGGCCAAAAGGGCCAGCGCCATCTTGGCCTGCATTAGAAATAGGGTGGCCATCAGGAGCAGGGAGGTGATCATCCCCCTGTACTCAGCACTGGTGAGGCCGCACCTCGAGTACTGTGTTCAGTTTTGGGCCTCTCACTACAGGAAAGACACTGAGGCCCTGCAGCATGTCCAGAGAAGGGCAACGAAACTGGTGAAGGGTCTGGAGCACAGGTCTTATGAGGAGCAGCTGAGGGAGCTGGGATTGTTTGGTCTGGAGAAGAGGAGCTCAGGGGAGACCTCACTGCACTCTACAACTTCCTGAAGGGAGGTTGTGGTGAAGAGGGGTTTGGCCTCTTCTCCTAGGCAGCAAAAAGGATCCAGGGAAATGGCCACAAGTTGTACCAGCGGAGGTTTAGGTTAGACTTAAGGAAGAACTTTTTCTCTCAGAGAGTGGTCAGGCACTGGAATGGCCTGCTAAGGGAGGCGATGCAGTCGCCATCCCTGGCAGCATTCAAGAGGCGTCTGGACGAGGAGCTGCGAGATATGGTTTAGTAGCTTGTAGTAGCAGTGGTAGTGTGAAGACGGTTGGACTAGATGATCTTACAGGTTGTTTCCAACTCTGTGATTCTATGATTCAATAATGAAGTTTTCACATTTGTTGGAATACTGGAACTTATTTATGTGTCATCAGTAGAGTATGAATCTCTACCACAAACAGAAAAATTACCTGCATTCTTCCATCCCCTCAACCAGTGAAACAAATTCCATCTGCATGTTGTAAATTATCTGTCAGTCCTCATTGCATTTCTCATGCAAATACACTTTTGTTCCTGCTTTTTATTAAACTTACCATCAGTTCAAAGATTAAAATCATAAAGCCAAACTTCTGTGAAGGACAAAAATATGCCTGATTTATCCAACTTTATCATTTAGTAAAATAGAAGATACTTGTAATCTCAGTCATATTCTTGGACTACTGTAGTTCCCATAACACAAAATTCTTTTCCAGTTATCAAACATACAAATAATGTTAAGATTTAAAAAAAAACAACCGCCAGTAATTTGTTTCTTTATCACGTAAAAGGCTTTCCATTTCTTGAAAAGCTCTTAGATATGATTAAAAATGGTGTAGTGGTGTAATAATTCTATGTTTCAGGATACTATCCAAGCAGAGACTTAATTTTGGGGTTGTTAGCTATCACCCATTGGAGTTAATAAATAATAGACTAAATTATATGAAAATGTATTTATGACTGGAGACACAAATTCAAAAAACAGAATTAAGAATATCTTGTCAAGTTAAATGACTAATCCACAGTTGTTAAAGGCATTTTGACAAAGTTTTATGAAATAGAAGACTGAAATGGCAAGGAATTTATTACCTTCCAGGTATGGAACTGAGAAGTTGGTGCTGACATTATAAATCATTCTGCAGGTCACGACATTGCTGCCACAAGGCTCATAGTGCCATTCACACTCATTACGAGGGTTATAGTAGTCACAAAATATTGCTGATGAGAAAAAAGGAAAGCTGATTAAAAATACAGTTGTTACAATGAAGCTCAGCCCAGATGTTTGAACATAAAAGCTAAATTAATCCACAAGTCAAGCTTGCAAAATTATCTTGAGGTACAGGACTTGTAAATAGACTTCCTTCTATTACACATAAACATAGACTATATCAAAATTTGAGATTAAAATCTGGGATTTTAATAGTAAACACTTTAGCTGCAGGAGAAAACAAACGTTTGATTAAAACCACACACAAAAAAAACAAGAATTAGTGTTTATTTATATTTCTAATGAAGGGCAAATTTCTGTGAGCTTTTTTCCCCTATGTACTAGCAAATTCATAAAACCTCTTGCAGTATATGTACTCAAAGTAGCTCTACCTTGCTGTATGACATGGGCTGAGTAACCTCCAGCAGGTCAGGAACAAGCATATGAGATATTATGGATACAAAATTAAAATAATTCAGCTTAGCTGACTACGGATAGAGGAAGGAAATTTTCTGTATCACCAACTTCTTACACTTGAAAACTTTAACTAGCCTTAATTTTGAACCAGAATAAATTTTTACAATTAAATTGCCATTTCCAGCATTAAGAATCTCAAAATTTGGTTTTGAACACTTTTTTGGAGGGGAAGAAAAATACAATTTAAATACTGTCTTACAGTATTTTATGATTTCTGGTATGAACACTATTAATGGACACTTCTTAATACAGTCAATACTGATTAGGTTTACCTACACAAGAGTACTTCCATATACTTTGAAAAAAAAAGCCAATTCTGAATCATTTGTGCAAATAGAAGAAGGACAACAGGAGCTGCAGTTCATCAATTATCAAGCAAAACAAAAGGACCACTTAACATATAGCCTTAAAACTCCTAAAACCACCATCACCTCTCAAAAATAAAACATAACTGCTATAAAAATTTTACTAATTCTGTCTGTTCCCTGAAACGCTGTGAAGATAAGTCACAAGAGCAAGCACAGCCCTGCAATATTCATAATTTATTTAATAGGGTCCCTGACAGCAGACAGAAAGATACAGATGTGTTTAGCTGTTACTCACGGCATATATCAGGACTTCTCCAGAAGACACAGGCCTGAGCTTTGGTACATTCTTGTGCATATGCAGCAACAGCAGAACAGAAGCAATCACAATCTCCACCACTGTCACAAGAGCAGGCATCGTGAACACAAGCATCATAGAAAGGAGATGGGTTCACCTATGGGAAAAAGAAATGATGCCACAGTCCATCTCCAAACTAATAAGCCTGAGACATATTTTGAGATAATGGGAACTGAGCTGGACAGGAATAAGAATGTTTCTAAGAACTTCTGAACAGTATAGGCTAGAAATTGTTTCATGTATTTAGTATGAAGTAATATAACATCTTCATAAATTGTTAAGATTTTTTAAAAAGTCTTTTTTAAGACATCTTCTAGCAAAGTTCCATTCTACTGCTCTCAATATCAAGTTGGATGAATGCAAGTCAAGACTTAGTTTTTCAGCAAGCTCTGCTAGCCATCAGTCTCAGAAAGGCTGCATTTCATTGCAAATACAAAGCAAATAATTTTGTGCTTGCCAGTTTTTGGAGTTTATCCCATCAAACATTGGAACATTTTTGCTTGGGATCAGAAAAGGAGATATTTGGATTGGATTTTAGGTCCTGAAGAAATCAATACAGACACACATATTAAGTCAGTGAAAATCTTTTTTCTTTGTGACTTTTCCACCATGAAGTAAAAACAAATTGTTGTTAACATTGGTATACTTCAGGAGTGAGACAAGAAATAGAGATGTGCTATGACAATTTATAGCATAGTACTAATAGTTAAGCTTGTTTAAACTGCACAGTCAGCGATTTCCAAGTAAGTAACTTCTAAAGTTTGAATATTAACAGGAGCAGCACTCTGTTCAGAAGTCACATTTCAAGTACAGTACGTGGTTCTGCCAGAAGATGGGTCTGATGACTGCAGGATCTCTCAGAATTTATAGCTGTGACATTTTCTCTACAGGAAAGGGTACAACTGCAGCAGACACCTATTCAAGCTAGATTTACGAAGCTAACCTGCACAGCAGTAGCAGCAAAAAACTGGTGATAAATATGAGGTCTTAGAGTTGAGGCTAGCACCTCTGCTAACGAAGTTGTAACAGATACTCAAACTAATTTGACAAAGACTAGATGAAATATGCTGACACTTCTAGCTATACTGAAGACTTAGCTGAAGATATGTCTGCTTAACCATCTATTCATTCATATTCCTGCAGTAACAGAAATGCACTGTGCTATCCCATCACTTACTGCCATCTACAAACCTTGGAATGACAAATTTTAAAGATTTCACTCAGGATAAGGCTGCATTCTTTCTCTGCCCATGGCTTGCGATGTGGTTTCAGATCACAGGGTTTAATCTCTTCTGTGACATCCGGGCACACAGATGACTGTTTCCAGGAATTCCCAAACTCCAAAGCACTTGTCAATTGCAGCCCACTCCTGCTTGTAAAGTCATTGTTGGACTTGTCATCAAAGTTGCCACACAGACCACACACTTTCCCCTGTAAAAGGAAATGACAATATCCATGGCTATTAAACATATCATGGAAGTGAGAAACAGACTCTATCATAATACTGGAAAAAAACATTCACATTAAAATGTACAACAGACTTTCCCTGCAAATGAGATGTTTTCATCTTTACTTGTAAATCATTTATACAGAAATTAAAATTTCATTTGACTGTGTACTCAGCAAACTACTCAGCTGTCCTTCTTTAAAACCAATTGTACCTATATTTCTGTGTCTGTGTCTTTTCATTCCACTTATAAGACTAAAGAGTGACTAAGCTTCTTTCAGCTGAAAAGAATGAATTTATTTTCCTTTATTTTTCATTATTCTCAATTGTAACATAAATACTATTAATATAAACATGAGAGAATTTCATTGTGTAACTGGCATCACTTCTTTATCCACGACAACCAAAAAAGAGGCGCTCATTTTTCTTGAAAGAAAGAATTTAGCAACCTAAATCTGCAGTAGTGAATTTTCAGTAGTGCTAATAAAGGCACTCCAACTTTCTGAAGGAACAGCCTGATCCTGTTATGAAACCCTGTACCTCCTCATTTAGCACAATGAACGTAGTACTCTATAATTCAGCATGCTGATTTTCAGAAATCTGACCCATCTCCAGACACTGTGTGGGAAGACTGGTTTTAACTCTGGGCTCAGATTCTATACAGGTTTCTGAGTGCAAACACAGCCAATTCAGATCCCCATGAATTACTCTAGGTGTCTGGCTCTTATTATTCACAAACTCAGAAGGTCTTAAACACTTAGCTTTAAAGCAATCATACGCTATTCATCTTCTGTCATGTTAGAAACTCTAGTAGAACCCCACCAAGATGTTTTAGGAACATCAGCTAATCATCAATGTGCAGAGACGTAGGATTAAATTCACAGTCAGAAAAGAAGATTGTCTATGTTTCCTTATCTCACACATACTTCTGTTTCAGAAAAAGACAGAGAGATTCTAACTTACTTTATAGTCAGGAGTCAGTTTGATGAAAACAGTGGTCTTCTTATCCCAGATAAGCATCACACCATTGCTAGCTTCAATAACAAGGTAGAGACCTACTGTCTTGTTCTGGTAATACACATCATCACCAACATCTCGCTGAATTTCCTTATAATCCTTGTTCTCCAACTTCAATTCAGTTTTCTAAATGGTAAAAAGATGACAAAAAGAATAACACTAACTTCTATGATGAAATAAATAATTAAATACTCATAAGGGTGCAGCTCAGACTGAAACTAAGGGATCAGAGTCTGTTGGATAACTTTTTCCAGGATGACAGAAAGCACCGTAGCACCTTTGTTTGAGACAACTTGAACAGACTTCAATAACTGAGAATCTACAGCTTTACACATTACTTTGACAGGGTCTTTAACCTTTACCTATTGTAGCTGGCTTTGTATCTTTGTATATATTTGGAGCACTATTTTCTATGAAATACTTGAATATACACTCACTGAATACTCATTACTCACCCCTATAAACATTTTAATGGCTTTTGAGCAGGTGACTCCTGTAGTTCCACAAGGGACGTTCTCTGTGATGATACTGAATGAGCCACCAGAATTTTTGTCACCGCAATAATCCTGTGGATAAATGAACAAATGAGCATAAAAAATATTTCAACTCTATTTCAATTTAATAATAATAATTACAAACACAGAAATATCCATAGCGTATTCATTTTTACTATCTAAATACATATGTTTTTACAGATGCACAAACAGATACACATACATCTCTGCATGTATTTAGTATGCAAAGTGTCACGTATAACAAAACCTGGGAAACAAATCAAATGAGGAACATATCTTCCAATTTTTGTTTTGTAAACTCAGACTTTTTACTTATTTCAGATTATGAGGATAAACTGTTAACTCTCACTATAAACTAGTCCATTTACATGCAATTTATGAGTAATGTAAAAGAAGAAAAGAGTCACAACTCGACTATGCTAAATATACAGAATTTATCTTGGCACAATCTGCAATCATCTCAGGAACAGTGATAATAGTTAATAAGGAATAACAAAATCAGAAAGAAAAATAGATCTTGAAGGCCATTGGAAAGCACTCTAAGATTCCAGTTCAGTTCTTATGAGCATTACCTGAGTAGCCACATATTCACAACTTCCGTCAAAGTCATAGAATTTTCCATCAAAGGTGATATAATGGCCACTTCCATATATCAAGCAAGTCCCATAGCACACATTTTCAGTGCAGCTCCAGACACCTTTCTGGCAGGTACTAGAAGAGAGGGAGAGTTGACCTTTCAGATCTCACCAACAGCGTGTTGCTTAGAAAACTGCAGAACATACCTGATACCTGATACATGATAATGTGCACAACATCCATTTTGGTTTTACTTAGTGTCTTACGTATCAAATGCAATAGTTTAGCCTATTAGCCCTGGCTCCGACATATTTTAGATTGGTAAGTGACTAAAACTGTGACTAGATTGGTAAGTGTCTAAAAACTGAATATGCTTTCCTAATAAGAGACGCCTACTGAAAGCAGAAGTTGCTAGTTACCCTAATATTTTCTGTACAATCTGTATTTTCTCAAACAAAAAAATATGCCTGAAAATAAAGACATCATACTTGCAGCCACCATAACCACTGCATGACTATTAATTTACTATGTGGAATATGTTCTAGAAAAGAATATAGAAAACCAACATACCAGGTGTTACAGTCCACTGTTATGCTCTGCCCGTGGTTATACCAGTCGCTGTTATGAATACATGGGCAGTCCTCTTCCACAACACAGCCCCCTCTACCATCATCAAACAGACCTTCAGGACACACGCAGCCTGAGACACATTCACCCTGATACTAAGGAATATGAAGAAAAATTGGTACTTTAGGAATAAGCACTAAATTTTTCTTTCAATTCTTCATTTTGTTACAAAAAACATTTATAACCAAATTGTCCCATGACAAATTGTTTCATAAGGTTTTTCTTTCTAGGCTCTTAAGGTATTTTGTTTTATTTTTTGTTTGTAAATTTGAATCATATTTTAGTTGGTGGAACATCTCTACTTAAATCCCACATAAGCATGATAAAAACAAACAGGAAGGTAAAGAAGAGTGGAATTGCAGTGATATTGATAGCTGATTGAAATCATTGGGGAAAAAAAAAAAGATGAAAGGAAAATGAAAATCGCTAGTTACGATTGCTTTTTCTGAAATGCTATGTTGAATAAAGAAAATGTGGCATGGAGAATAACTGAATACATACAAGATCAGTTGGAGAAGTACCACAGCGAAGTTGTACAGGTGTTTGTGAAGTCCAGTCTGGGGATGCATTGCAATCAAAGTAGGTTTTGTTTGAAGGACATTCTGTTATACCTGAAAGGTATATTGTTGATTTAGGTGAATCAAGAGAAGCCAAAACAAATGTGAAGGGTGATAGTCACTGAGACACAAACCCTAAGTAATGTCTATCCTTGAGAAAAAAATAAATGTCTATCCTTGTGAAGACAGAACAAAGTGAAAATGCACAACTGTTTCACAGAAAAAAATGAACAAGCAAAACAAATAAATGGAGAATTCAAGAGGAAAGTGCAATCTGGGGTTTGAGGAGCTTGGGTTATTTGTTTTTTTTTAATCTTTTTTCTCTGTATTTTACAGAATGTCACTTACTTTTCATTCTCATTGTCACTGAAGTACATTGGACCTTTGCATTTCGGCAAACACTAGGAAAGAAGTGAAGACAGAAATTCAAAACCATGTAAGCTCAGTATCTTCAATTTCAGTCTAAGGATTAGACATCCTGCATAATTGATGATATTTCAAGGTGAACTCTATTGAAATGCACTCATGAATTCTCACTTGTAGAAAAGGTGTGGAGAGATTTCAGTCATAATGCATAAAGGTTGTGTTTTAAGGAATGAATGCTATTCTATTAATCAATGCTTTGCAATGACTCAGTAAACAGATAATAATTTAAACCAAAGCCTTAATTTGGATAACGCAATAAATTTTCTGCCTGTTCAATTCATACGCTGCATATCTGTTGGCTTGTGTCTTTTCTTACCCTCTTTGGGAGAGAAGGAAGTATTTCACATTTTGCACTTATGATTCATACAGTAAACAGTTGTCAGAGGGTTCATCAAGATTGAAAATTCTAGGTTCGTGAAAGCTGCTCTCAAATGATACAGTAAATACCTATTAAGGGGACCTTCATCCAATGAAAGACAAGTAATTGGTCTCTGACAGAAAGGCAAACAATAAAACACAAAAGCTAGCCTTTCATCTTCCTTTTTCCTTTTGTTCAAAAAAGACCTATTGACAGTACCACTTCAGGTTCACATTTACTTGTGAAAGCCAGTAATAACAACTCAAAGCCGTACTTCTCAATCATTAATAAACTACACTGCAACAGGAAGATATTTTGCTCAACATGAAGATAGTGTGAATCACATTACAAGTGTTTGTTAAAGCATAATTAATAGCCAAATGGCTTACACTTAAAAAGTAATTTAAAATGGCTTTTATCCCAACAAACAGGAAGAGGCAATAAAACATACCAACGCTCTCCATCCTTTGTAACATAATCTCCAGGTTCCAGATACGACCCCTTGTAATAGCATGGGCATTTGGAGATGGGCACACACGTATCCTGATTATCCAAGTATGTATTATCTGGGCAGCCACAGCCATCCACAGGAGCAAAGTCTTGCAAGCAGTACTTTTCACCATCAGCAATGGAACGACAGGTTTGCTGGCACATTGTAAGATTGTAGAGGAAGACTTGATTTCCTGGGCAAGCGGACACTTCATCAGCTGGAGGGAAAAAAAGCAAACTCATATAAAAGAAGTGCAAAGAAACCTTGATGTTTCTATTTTGGCTTCTTTAGCTGTGCAGCATGTAATGGTAAAAGTATTCCTTTTGATTTTACTGAAGTACAAATTACCATAACTCATAAGTAGTACTACTCTGATTTAGTTTATCAGTTGAAGATTTCTTTTTAACTGCTACCAACAGTTGCTAATTTCATACTCATTTATTTCACATATTGACAACCAGAAACAGAGCACACTAAGACAAGCTCTGATTCCCACCAATATTGTTGAAAAGCAAAGACAATGAAATACGAACACAATGTAGAAGCTACAATCCATTCCTGTGAATGGAGTCATTTAGTCAAAGATCACAATAGCATTATTCAAAGAAGGGAAAGAAGGTGAAAGTGAAAAATATTGCTTTCTAAGTTTGAAATATGTGTCACAAACAAATAAAAGCTAAGGAACATACCATGAATTAGTAAACATCACAAGCATTGCCTATTTTAATTCCAATGGATGTTTTTAAGATACTCCAGATCCCTTAACATCAAGATCACGAAGAACCAAATGCACAGAAATCCTGTTCATTTCTGGTGGCTAATTAATTTCATAGGGATCACAGTTTCATTACTTACAGCAGACACTTTGTCTCCAGCCACCCAGTACGATCCCTTTGAAAGCACAAGCTCTTGAATAAGAGGACAGGGCAGCACACAAGCACTCCTCACTGTCCTTGCAGAGGCAGGTGTCATATTTACATCTCTGAAAAAGGAATGAAAGGGTCAAAAAGATCAGAGGAAAATAACTGGCTCTTCCAACTTGGTTGCTATAAAATATCCTGCGTTCTTTCTCCATTGTCGTTTTTATTAATTCCTCTGATCAGAGAACTATGGAAGGAATGGATAAAGCCTAGAGACTGAAAGCGTTGCTACAGTTCATTCAGACTAAAAAGCCAGGCCTCTTGAATCTTTATGAAGTAGCCTGCCTCCTAACAACACTTTCCATAAAGGATTTTGATATCACCCTTTCTCAGTTAGAACTTAGAAAGGCAGAGGTCCACAAAAATTAAAAATTATAATGGCAAACTGTCAACCAGATCTATGAAGATTTTCAAAAAACTTGAGCTCAGATTGGGTACTAAGAACATTGCAAAGACAGGAATCTCTTCTTTTTTTGCTCAGGTAAGCATTACTTACACTTCTGTGTATACCTGTATCTGTTGAATATCCTTTCCACATACACTATGCTGCTTGACTAACAGCTGCAAAAACTTTGCCAGGTTTTATGGTCACACTATTCAGTAATGCCTCAAATTGATACATTGATTAATGTCTCCATCACCCATCTGAAACAAAGCAGTACTAAGAAGAGTGCAAGATTACAATACCTTATAGTATTCTGCAGGATCAATGACTGAGTGACATCTTGCAAATGGGCCCTCTGAGTTTTTCAGCAAAGAACACCAATGCTCAGCATAATTTGCTGCAAAAAAAAAAAAAAAAAAAAAAAGAAAAAATGTATTATAATATAATTGTATTAATTACATTCACTCATCTTCCTTGTACCATGTCTAGTTATATTGTTACACCAATATATTGTTACATCAAATAATTGCAATGTAACAATACAGATGAGAGAACTGTGAATACTGGGAAGTGGAGGAACTACATGCAGTCACTGTGCATGTACTTCCACTCTATGATTCAGATATCTAGCATTAAATACAATCGTAAGATCAAAAATTTTATCTTACTGCTGCAAATAAATTTGTGACAGCTCTTTTCATTTGCGGACCACCACTGCCAAGTTAAACATAAGAAGAAATAATACTACAATGTACAACCTGCCTTTCCAGGTAAAAAGGAAAAATAATAATGACCTTGCTTCCCTGTCTTCTAGCTATGGATTCCATTTGAATCAGATCTTAAACTTTCACTCTAATTTGATGTGAAATCAGTGCTGGTATGCATACATACTTAAATAATTGAATTATTAGTTTGACAGTCCTCCAAAGTACATCAATGCCATAGTGCAACTTTTCTATGCCAGTTGCAGTAATATACAGCAGCTTATTTGTCTTATTAGTATGCTCACCACTTTCAATGCTGAGACTGCAGGGGTCTTCCAGCTTTTCTACTTGGTCTGCACAGGTGGACTGAGCTTTCCATGTGTTTGCAAAGGCAGATCCTGTAGCTTCTACCAACCCACTGGTTGTTTTAAAGTCATCACCTTCCATTCCATTAAAATTTCCACAAAGACCTATTGAAAAAGTAAACATTTTCTCTATTATTCATTCTCATTCTGCAAGGGAAAGAGACAGCTGATTATAAACGCTGAAGATAGAAGCTAATATACCAGATTCTTCATACTAACACTGATGCTTATTGTAAGTACTGAAGGTTTAGGAGACCTATTTTAAGCCTAAAATCTTGAAGATGAATAGCCTTCATGATGGTATCCTTTGCCTCAGGAGATCATCTCCATAATCTGATATTAGGAAGCAATTCTTCACCATAAGAGTGGTGAGACACTGAAGTAGGTTGCTCAGAAAAGTTCTGAATTTCCCATCCCTAGAAGTAGTCAAGACCAAGCTAGCTGGGGCTCTGGACAATGTGATCTAGGGGAAGGTGTTCCTGCCATTGCAAGAGGGTGAAACTAGATGAACTTCAAGGTCCTTTCAAACTTAAGCCATTATGTAAGTCTATGAATTACCACCCATGTAAAGAATATATGACTCAAAAGCTGTGGAAATGCATAGTTTTGCTTCCTACTTCAGTGGACACTTGCCTTGAAGGTCCTGGACTGACTGATCCGCTGTCACAAACAGTTGCATGACCGGAGACAACTGAATCTGCAGTTGAAGCCCAAAAGAAGTATGTACAATGAGGTAGTAAGAAGATGGCTTGAAAACTGAGAAGCTAGCTGAAAAACAAAATAAGAACTGTGTTGTGAACATGGACATAGATTGCTGAAAGAAACGATTTTTATTAACTTCTTAGCCTAAAGATTACAAAAAAAATCATTTGATTTAGATCACACACTGCCTTTTTTATATTGCTAAATGAAGGACTGCTTTCATATGGAAAAAGGATGATGGTCTATAAATTAATATCATTGCCTCAGAACAAGTTGCAATGGCAGACTGTGATTCAGCATAAACATCTCTGAGAAAAGGAACAAGCAGATGTTATATCAAATGCAAATGTGCCTCAGTTGGTTATAAGGTAATCAAAAACAGCAGGATGCTGTGGATTTTCTTATATTTTATATGAATAGCATAGCATAAACCAGCCATAATAGAACAATCGCTAGAACTGACATTTAAAATCAGTACAGTAGAGGAATTGGGTTTCCTAATTACTGATAATTCCCTATAGCAAATCTATTATTATATGCCCTGTTTATTAGATGGTCTGTTTTATTGCCTAGAACAGTTTAATTTCTCTGAACTTGCAGCTAAGACGTAATTGCTTTTACACAAGCACTCATGACTGCCCTTCCATGAATACATACTGTGTCAACATGCAGCATGAACATATCTAAAAAGGAGTGATAGAATGTAAAAGCTCTACATTGCTTTCAGAAATTTGCTGCAGGACCTCACAGTTGCTGTTTGATAATTACATCCCACCAGAACTTAGGCTTGTGATTAGGCCATATGAGTCATATTCTGAAAGTGCCTGTGTCTACTGATTATATAAAAAGATGCAGGTATCCCAAGCTAGAAGGGCAGATAACAGGGTTCCACATAGTACATCTATCTTCCCTGCTTTGGTCAATATAGCATTTCTGCCAGGCTTTCTGCCCATGGACAAAAAAAAGGCATGGAGAGGAAGTGGGAGCTTGAGCCATAATAATACTGAGAGCCTGAATATGCCCACATCGGAAAATTCTAAATACCCCCCGTCTTAGGGAAACTGACTTACTCAATTTAAAATTAAGCCATGAAAATGTCTCCTTCCCAAGTTACACGCCAAAATATATTCAAGCTGAATCAAAACAAGTGAAGGGATTTTTTTCCAGTCATCACATGCATACATCAATCTGTCCACGGAATTGTCAGTGGAAGCTATCAAGCCACATTTACCTCAAAATCATTCCAAATACACTTAATTCTTGTTTCAACATCTGAACAAATTCCATATGCCTGTCTCCAACTTTTGGCTCTAGAAAAATACAACCTCCTCTTGAGTACCAGCTTCATGACAACATGTAAGGCTGTAGTCCTTACCTGACACATGAGGCACATTCACTGTCATTTCATTCAGTGACACACTGCCATCTGATCTGAAAACCACCACCTGTGTAGAAGGAAACGGGACTGATGAGGTTCCAGATATTGAGAAGGACAAAAATTGATAGAAAAGTAACTTTTTAAGAGCGGAGAGTGAAGAGAAAACATTTTGCACATTTAGACTATGGCTAGAACTTAAAATCTATGAAAGGAAGAATCTGTCTTAAAACTGAATGTGGCAGTGGGCATGTACGACAGAAGTAAGGCTTAGTCTTCCTATTTAGTGATTGATTATATCTGTCTACAACAACATATAGCAAGTAATAAAATGAGTTGTCATTATTAAACACTTTGGTTAAACAATATTAAAGAAAATATTGGGACTTCAGGATATATAGATAGTTCTGGTTTCCTATAAAAGCAATGGTAATGGTAAATGTAATGGTTTAGTATGATTCTGTTGTAGTAAGAAAGTAGTTTGTTAAGCTCCCTCATAAAATGCTAGTTTATACACACAGGAACAAAAAAGCTTTCCTGATTTGGTTTGATTTTTTAATTTTGCTGGCAAGGACATAGAAGAGCCAAAACATGGGAGAAAAATCATGTTTACATATGTAAAATTATGTATAAACTTAGTATAGGTATTCCCATAACCAAACATAATACTTAAGTAAATAAGACAACTTTACATAAACAGTGGATTAAATACTAGTATTCAAGAAGCTTGGATTGTACAAACATTCAAAGTTTGGATGTCTTCTGAAAAAGACTCAATTAGATCTACAAAATCAATCTGAAGAAAAATAAAATACCACAAGGGGAGGAAGGATGGCACTCTTTTTTCTCATCAGCCTGGAAGATGGTGAGACATGGCAGAGAGCAGAGAAAGGGAAAAATGTTAGCTTATTTGAATTTCAGCATTTGCTCAGCTGAGGCCTATTCTTAATTCTTGAGGTAGAAGCTTTAGTTTTTTATCAGCCTTTCTGAGCTCTGTTATTCACCCTCTTCAGATGATTCTGGAACAGTCTGGGATGTATGCTAATTTTCAAAACACCCAGCAGAATTCAAACAACACTTACATTTTTTTTGTTGTCTACTAACAGCACAACAGTCTTCAAACAGGTCTGTCCATCTGTGGAGCCACAAGGAGCCAGCTCTGCCAGGAGGGCATGAGTATTATTCACAGCACTCTACAATCACAGGGAAATAAATGTCCATTAGTCCAATCAAAAATCTCTGACACAAGATGATTTCCAAAATTAAGACTAAAATCACAGGTTACAACAGCAATTGCTATAGAACTTAGCTATTAAAACCTAAGTTTTAGCACGAGTTTCATAAGATGAACTCTCTCAGAAAAGAAAGGAAAAGAAAGGAAAAGAAAAGAAAGGAAAAAAAAAGAAAGGAAAAGAAAAGAAAGGAAAAAAAAGA